TCACCTTGTGCTCTGGTTTCACAAAACTAATCTCCGTTTCTCTAACAGTCCATAAAATTTCTCACCTCTAGGCTTCCACCTGTACCTCTTTCCCTTTCCGCCTACCTAACTGCTTCTCACCTGTAGGATATAAATTCTTCCAGGTTAGATGCTCCTCCTAGATTTCAACTCATACTGCTATTATACTGGATAGTAATTCTCCCTTTACTTGTCTATAACTCTTAATTTACTAAAAGCAGAGTAAAGGAAAAAGTGGTGCCTATCTTCCCTTATGATTTCCCTAGCACGGAGCCCAATTCCAAACACATAGCGGTGTTCAAAGAGTGTTTGTTACTTGAAGAAGTTTGTTTGGTAGTGTCATCATGTAGGGTACCTTCCAACTACAACATCCTGTAGTCCCATGAACTGTGATCTCAGAGACGTTGCATTTTCAGTTTCTGAAAACTAAGAGATATGAGACCTTCCATCACTCCAGGATCTACCTTTATTAGTCTCCCATTCCCAGTCTGAACATCAGCATTTAGCAGATTGCTGGAATCCATTAGAACTAATAGATATAATTGTCACGATCAATTCTGAATCAACTGGGGTCAACTTTAAACCAAGATGTGTTGCCTGGAAATTGAATGAGATTCAATATAGTAAAGAAAGAGGGTTGGGGCTGGGAGGACATGGGGAGAGTCAGATCTACACTCTAGTACCAGTTCTGTCACTGATGGAGTGACTTGGGGCAAGTCCTCTGGCCTCTCTAGACCTCAAGTTCGTGCATGCCTAATTGAAGAGATTGGACTAGATAACATTTTAGGGCCCTTTTGACTCTAAAACGTAGAATTTAGAGTTCTAGTCTTTGTTCTTCCACTCATCATCTGCTAGGCCATTAATGGATTTTATAAGGAGACAGCGTAAAGTATCAGGGAAGTGGAAGGAATCGCTATGAATAAGTACGCCAGGACAAGTGGACACTGAGACTGTCCTAGGTTCACCAGGATGTGTGGTCACCTTTGTTTTAATTAAGTTTTTGTTATCTGGGCTTCAGGTTTTCAGCTTGTGGTCACAGAGAAGGCTATTCGGAATTTGTGGTCAGGGCTCTGTTCTAAGATTTCAAGGAGGCTGCACACATGGGTGCCAAAAGCAGCTAACATGCCCCATCATCATGCAGGTAGCTCACTTGCTTCCCCTACTTGCTCCTGAACAAGAAGCCTGAGCCCAGAGTTTATGCAGCCTCCCAGCCCCACCCTGATGTGTTCCACCCCCACCAGTGGTCTAAGGGCAGTCATTGAAGAAAATATTTTAAATCCCTTGGGCTCAAGTGCACAGCTCTGTGCTATCATCATAAACACTTGACCACAGAGAAAACAGGTAGCTGAATGAAATATCCATTACTCTCCAAACACTAGTCATTGTCTCTACCATCACTTTTACCTTTCCTCTATCAACCTCCCACCTTACAGGTGCATTGGCTGTACTATATTTGTAAACTGTCTTATTCCCATGGAAGCCAGAACAAATGGACAAAATTGGTCTGCCTGAAAAGTAGATTAGCAGAGAGGATTCCTCAACTCAATCCCTCTTAAATTTGAACTTGCCTTCCCCTGAGATCTGTAAGAGCAACAACCAATTTGTATGAGCACTCCACAATTCCAAAGCCTTTTTGAACTTCTCATCCCATCTCTTCTGATGTTTGGAATGTTCTTGCCTCAGAAAGGCAATCCCGGATCAAAGCCAATAGTCATCATCAATTTTCCAGCCTTGTGACGACCGTGGCCACCTCTTTGAGTCACTTACCATTTCCAGGCACAAGTGAGGGACAGCCCACGAAAGGGTATAAGAAAAGTCACAGGCTGACAGTGTGGAATGGGCTGGGAGAAGGTCCTGGCTATCTCCTGATCCTCAGTAATTCCCACAAGTGGTTGCTGAAAACCTCCTTGCTCCTCTATGTCACATCACATGGAGTGACCAGAGCTGCCCTGACATCAAAGCTCTGTAAAAATGCTGTGGCTGAGAGAGCACTAGAGCCTGAATGGGAGGGATGAGAGATTAGAGACAGGACTGTAACCTCAGAGGGCTCTGGGGGTTGTGTAATGTGTCGTGAGACCTGGTCATTGTTGATTCCCCAGTGTTGCTGTGGGTAGATGATCATCTCTACCTTCACTTCAGGCATCAGCACATTGAGATACACCCAGCAAGTGAATGAAATCGGCTTTTCCAGGATAGAAATATTTTCCAGGAAAATGCAAAAGGGACTGGGACATTGAGTAAAACAGGAAATGGCACTGATCAAGGGACAGGGAGGCTGGAGCCACCTTCTCCCTATTTGGAGTTCTAAATTCTCAATAAATGTTCTTTTCCTCAACTTCAAGTCTTTTAAAATGTTCACCAATGGATCAACACCTCATTCTATCAGACTCCTTAAGTCTCTGCCTCATTGCAAGAGGTGCCAGGAAAGTGCTTTTCTCTTCTATATTTGTTATTCTTAGGTGAGGATTCTCCTAGCATGGAGGGATCCCACACATCAGTGAACCACCAGCAGCACGCTGAGCCAGTATGCCCATAAAATGGCACTGGCCAAGTCCTTGGACCAGGTACCCGGAGGGTCAAGCATCCCTATACCTGAGCTAGAATAAGGCCTTTGTACAACTGGAATTGCACCACGAACCACCTTCCCAGAGCAGCCACTGGGGAAAAGCAGAGGTCGGAAAGCGTTGTGGAAGTGGAAGAGCTTCCTTACTGAAAGAAGACTGTCTTGTCCCATATTTGGTGTATGAAGTGTGCTGCTTAGTAACCGAGACTGTGTCTCCTGTGGATGGTGAGCCATCAGCCAGCATCATCAAAGGGGACCTTTCAGAGTTCTTGGGTGGCAACATGGCATCATGGAAAAAACAAGGGCTTAGAAGTCAGATGGTTCTGATGAACCTGATGACCTCTTGTACTCTCTTCTACTGTAGGTTCTAGAATAAAATGACCTTCATGCCAAGTAAACATGGAATATGGATAGATGTCTTCACAGGGGTCACAAACTCAAACTCTACAGAGACTTGGCAGGAATGCAAATGAGTGGGGGTGACCTACTAGAGACAGAATAGGAGATTCATGTTCATCTAGAGGGGGCATCTTTTACTCAGTGTCCTGCTATAAAGGACCCCATGACCCTACTGCAGGTTATTGCTCACTGGAGCTACATAGGTGAGTCCCAGCACTGGGAAGACCCAACTGAGCATCTATGGCACAGAAGCAGCCTACAGTCAGTCCGTGTGTAACCTCTAGTCTACACCACCTGCCTTGTTTTACCCAAAGCACAAATCACAATCCTTCTCCTTTTTAGGTTAAAATAGTTACACTTCATTATATAGGAAAGCTCTGTTGCTCAATTTTTTTTTTGGCAGGGGTACTATAGTTTGCTCCAAAGCCATAGCAGTGGTGAGTCAGACTCACCTTGGGCAATTACTTTATCCCACAATCTCCCCAAAGCCTGTCAAATCTATAGATTTGTGACCACCAGCTTCTTGAACGACTCCTGCTTTCCTTGTGTCTCCTATCCTCACTCTCCCCCAGTCCCCCAAACCCTGCAGTTGTTTTAGAAGAGACTACCTCTCCCCAGCCTCAATTTGGTGGTCTCAGCAGTATCATTAGGAGTGATCATCAAAGCCCAGCTGTCCTAGAGTTCGCCATCTAAACTACAGCTCCAAATCTGAGAACAGAGGTCTAAGCTTATTTCCTTCAAGCCTATCTTTTAACTTTTTACCTGGTCAGCATTAAATCAGATACTGTGGGGGATAACAGCAACTTGGCACTGAAGGGAAGCTCTCTGACCAAATCCTTGACTGAGGCAGAAACCTATTCTCTGTGTACTGTTTATTCAGGGGGAGAACAGCTCAGATGTGGCTTCAGGTTGGCTCAGGAGTTGTGGCTTTGCCCAGGTTTGCAGCTGAAGACTAGGAAATATAAGGACCTCAAGCCATCTTCCCAAAGTCTTCCAGCAAGTGGTTGACTGGGATAGAGGACTCAGAACTTTCCTCGAGGCCAGGCCAGCTCCCTGACCACTAGACCACACAGTCGGTGTTTAACGTGCACTCAGCAAACCTCAAGCTCCAGGCCTGAAGAAACAGATTTTCCAAAAACAGAGCTTTCTTTGTGAACAATTCAGCAAAAATTCTCTTTCCAGCTGTGAGTTGGGATTCATGTTGCAAATGCTGGTGTTAATTAAAAACATCCACCTTCTACAGTTTCAGCACAAGAGAAAAGCACCACGCAGGATGTGTTCCTAAGCACTCTTTCCCAAAGCACTTACAAATATAATTTCATTTATGATGTGAGCCGCTGGGGGTTCTGACAGATATTATCATTTCCAATTCTCAGGCCCAATACAAGAGTTGGGGCCAAGGAGATGGATGTGATGGGTCTAAATTGGCACAGAGCAAAATTAGTATCAGAAGAAGAAACAAGAATACTATTTCTGCCTAGAGCATCGACTAAAGATGTTCAACTTTCTGTGTTAATATCAGGAACGTTACCTAGTTGGGATCAAATAGTTTATCTGTTGAGTCATTAAAAATTATATTCACGTGGCTCTTAGTCCTTCAGACATGACAAAAAGAGGTATGACGAGGCCACAGACATTCCAAGAAGGATGACATCATATATTCAATAATTGGGGTATTAGGTTATACTGCCCTATATTCCCGTTATACTTCTCACCTTATTGGGAAATCTTTATCTAAAACGGTCCTTGGCTAGTGAGATCAGCAAGACTGAACTGCATTCCCTCCTGTGCTTGTCTCCGGATGGTTATCTGTCCTGCTCTCACAGGTGACCCACACAGGAAAGAATCGAGCCAAACCCACATTGTTATGAACGAATTTCTTTGTTTTAATCTCACACAGTTTAAAATACAATATGAAATCAGGCTACAGTATATAAAAAACTCTCCAGCAAAATGATGTGCCAGCATCAGCTACTAAAATAAACAAACAAAAAACTCCCCCATAAGAAATTTTTTTGCATTTTTAAAAAAAAACACATAGATACTTACATCGCTACATCTCTAAGCTACCTCAGTTCTGATTTTTAAAAAGCACCTGCTTTTCCTTTTTTCATCTTGCTTTTAAATTTTCAGCTTTTAAAAAATATAAATTATATGAAAATACAAGTTGGAAAATAGTCAAACACAATATAACATCTTTTTCACCCCTATACTTCTCAGCTTAAAAAAAAGTATTCTTAAAAAAAGTTCAATAACTGAGGCAGTATTCCTGATAGAGATAATTTCATTTTAATATATATATTTTATATATGTATATGTATACATATATTTATGGTTCCTTGAAACTTCTTTGGAATGTAGATATGAGTTCAACGCATTTATATAGACCCCAACAGAGAAAGCAGCATGCACAGCATGACAAGAATAGAGAAGGTATAATTTTCACCATGAAGATTAGGCAGGTTAATGCTCTAAAACCCAGAGTGTTCGTCTCCAAAGTGAGGAAAAGCACATCTGATCTTTGAATGCCACCTCTAACCCCACAGCCACAAAACCAGGGCTTGTGTAGGGCAGTCCCTCCCCCTAATGGAGAGGGGAACAAAAGTGACTCTGAACCCTACAGCCAAAACCACTATGGGGTAAGGCATCTCCAGGAAAATAAGGTTTTCACCCAGCTAAACCAGATTTGCCCGTCCTTCCTCTGAAGTTAACATGTGTTTTTAAAAAGCATAAATGCAACAATTCTGCTACATTTCCAGTGTATAAACCACCCACCACTCTTCCTGGGATGGTCTCTGGCCTTTGGACAGGAGAAAAAGCATCTGGCCAGATAGACAAAGCTGTCTTAACTAATACATTATGTACAAATACTGAAAACGGTGGACCTAGAGAGAAAGGGCATCTTAGCAACAAGCGGGCTGAGGAGCACGAGGAGGCACTTTCTTGTATCTTATCTGCTACAGAATTATTGCAGGAGTTAGACACACTCACGCAGGGGAGTTTTCAGCATAAATTTAATGAGAAAGATTGATGAGTTGAGAAAGTGATGTTATGCCTGGTTGCAAATGGCAAGCAATGACCGACGCTCGGCCTTGGTTCTACTCGCGCCCATTACTGAAACATGGAAAGACTTAACTAGAAAACTCAGGTATTATCTCAGCTGCAGTTTTGCATGTCTGCAAACATGCACGCACACACACATGCATACGCACACACGCACACACACCTTTGCCAGTGCCCAACAAAGATCACATAATCTAAGAGAAAACAATGTAGTCCAAACAGTTCTGCCTAACACTCCCTGAGCAGCTCCTAAAATATTTCGAGAGCTTCATTAAGGCACCTGCATCCAGAAGAAGATCAAAATACACAGCTGGGCTAATTCTGCCTTTGCTTTCCAAGTGGACGCTCCAATTGATCAGTATGAAGAAACTCATGAATCAGAGAGCTAAGTTCCTGATAATTGAGGGTCTGCAAGAGGACCTGGGAGTAAACAATCCATTTTCTTGAGGATATGCTAGAAGGTAGTTAGTACTTCCAGTTTCTCAGCTAGGGCCCAAGAAGGCTAGCCCTGAGAAGCCCATCTTAAACATTTCTCCACCTCTCTCATTGAAGTCCGTAAAGCCATCCCTCTGTTGTCATCTTTTCATTCGGGCATCTATATACTGGGGAGGATTCTAACTGTATGAGGCACTTTTCCTCACTAGTTAGATGTTGGTTTCCCCCTCAAAACCCCATTTTCAGATCACCCTTCACAACCAGTAGAAAGATGACTGCTTCAGTTGATTATGTTTGTAGTTAAGCTTTGGGGGAACTAAAAACATATTCAAGTCTCACGGACCACCTTATTTTCTTCACTCAAGCTCCTTTCCTTATGTTTCTTTGCCTTCAAGTCACTGCTTCTTCAGCAATTATTAACCTTCACCTACCCTGTGCCAAGATAAAAGATCTGAGCACGAGGCCCTAATAGCATCCGCACTATTTACTCTGCATCCACAGTCTCACCTGACATCCGACTCGACTAGCTTAAATTCTTCAAAGGAGAGCCTTGCACTTCTCCCCAAAACAGCCAAGCCACATTTTACTTATAGGCAACCTTAATTTCCATTGCTCCTAAAATCCAGTAAGTCTAAATGGCTTCATCAGACATTCTTCAACTCATGTCATGTCTGCAATTACTCTTCACTCATCAATCAGAAAGTTGTACGTTTCTGTCTACTGAATAACAGAGTAGGAGGGATGCTGGGGAAAGAAGACATAAAGGAGAAAGTGTAGAGTGTTAGTTTGGAATGACATGCATTCAGGACTTATTTCTTGAGACCTGAGGGGTAATGCCCATGCACACAGCCTTTATTCCAAGTCATACATGTTACAGGCAAAGAACCAATAAAGAACCAAGTCAATCTTCCTCCTTCCATCTCCTTTCCATTTTGTCAACAGAGCTCCTACATTTACTGTGGTCCAAAACCAGGGCTGCAAAATACATTCAGTTCAAAGACTTAATGCTTCTTAGCTCAACGTTAAGTCCAAACCCCGAGAATCCACTAATGACAAATAAGTAGAGGGGGTGATAATTTTTTTAAATTATAGATGAAATTCACATGCACAGTTCCCTTGTACTCAGATCAGCATTATTTTTTCCTTCGTATATAAGTCACATGAATTTGGGATCCCCGATCTCAGTGACAGCACTTTGCGTTTCCAGTGGGGTCTATATAAACAGTTTTCTTTCATTGTGACAGAATCCTCAGCCAGCAAATAAAAACAAACGTGCGTGATACTGCAATACTGAGACCACCTTAGAGCTTAAGACGATTTTTAAGAAAAAAAATACTGGCACAAAATTTAATAAAATAAAATTTAACACAAAAACAGTTTTGGTCCCTCCCCACTGAAGTCCATCTTTGTTTTGAAAGTAGAGTAAAAGTCCTTGGCTTTTAGTGCAGCCCCAAACAAAATATTTTATCCCACCTCCCTCTTTTTTGCCCTCCCAGACCTAAAAACAAGGCAAATTAATTGTCTTTCATGGGTCTCATGACTCATGATGCATCAATTTCTTTTGCTAATAGGTCCATCACTCAAGACACATTCTTTTTATGGATGATTTTAAAAAATGACTGGATACATTTGTTTCCTCCTCCCTTAAGCCAGATTCTTCAAGCTTCTAAGAAGACCCTTCCCTCTCTCCTGAAAATTTGCTCAAGAATTTCTTGTCCCACCCACCCCACAGGTCCTGGCTCTCCTTTTCCAACTGCGCACAATTGATTATAGCTGCAGCTCACTTAGCTCCCACCCCTGAATGTAAAAAATGAGTTCTGGAAAATTAAAAATAGAATAACAATTAAAAATTAAGAGTCCGACTGACGTGGTTGTTCTTTGAAATGTCTCAGCAGAGTTTCCCCAACCCCTTTGGTGTCCATCACTCATCGGCATCGGGCTTGACGTCCAGCATGGCATGGAGCTCCTCGGGCGTGTACCCCAGGAGGCTCTGCAGGTCACACACAAAGCGGTACACATAGCGTTTACCCGCTGTCTTGTGGATGATATTTTTGTCATAATAGTAACGTAGGCCACGGCTCAGTTTCTCATAATTCATCTTAGGTTTATTTTTCCTTTTTCCCCATCTCCTGGCCACCTGAAATTAAAAAATAATAATAATAAATAGGAGGAGGGGTAAAAATCTATCTGATATTTCAAATATACATGTTGATATGCCTACACCCATTCATTCATGGTGACCCATTATGTCAAGCAAGATAGTTACAGATTCATGTACAAAGAAGATATTTTTCTGATCTATCTCTTCTGAATTCCAATATTCAAGAAGTGGGCAAGAATGGCAGTCAAGTTGATTCTTTAAGCTGATGAAAACACAGTGGCCCTGAACCTCTATGTAATAGAGTTAAAGCATTTCACATTGAAAAATAAGAAAAGCAACACTATAAACTCTCCTCTTTCTCCATATTATAGTAGAATTTTCTTGCTTTGAAAGCATAAAATCTAACGTGAGGGAGTGGAGCAGAGCTGGGCTGCAATCATACCTGCCTTTCACCAACAGGAAGCATTTTTTCTGTACTGGGGCACAGTGTCTTCTCATCTCTGCCAGAACAGAGATGTTTTCTCTCTTGTTCATTATCTTTTATCCTCAGAATTGGTCATGGCACAGAGTAACCACTCAATAAGCATTTGTTGAATAAAAGAATGAATTAATGAACCAATTGTACCAATCTTCCAAGGCCTCCTGAATTGTCTGAGCCCTTTCAGATTCACAGGGAAGGGTCAGGAAGAGTGCTAAGTCGGAGACGGCAACTCCTATTTACGAAGGGTCTACTATGTGCAAGGCATTTTGTGTGCAACATATCAGTTAATCCCAGAAAACAAATGGGCAACGTAGATATTTTCTGTTTTCCAAATGATGAAACTAAGGCTCAGACAGGCTACAGAACTTGCTCAAGTTCACACAAGTAGCAAGTGGCAGATCTGGGATTCAAATCCTAGAATATGTCATCCAGGCCCACACAACCCCTGTCCAGAGTTCTCTCTCATCCTCCCTCAACACAATACTCTCCAGTCACTCCCTTCTTACCTCATCTGGGTCAGAAAGCTTGAATTCCCAGCCATCTCCTGTCCAACTGATGAAAGACTGACAGGATTTATCAGTGAGTAATTCCAGAAGAAACTGCCACAGCTGGATTGGTCCACTGCCTGGAAATACAAGCCAGCACGAATCATTACACCAGATGCTCGGCACCCGCAGAAACTAATCCCGTCACACAGCACGCCCTCTTCCCTCCTCTCTCAGTCCATCAGCCAGGAGAAAAGGAAGGCAACATACAGCACAAATGTTGGAGGAGGTGCTGTGAGCTCAAACAGACCGAACAGCGAAGAACTTCCTACCACAAGAAAAGCATTTAAGACAATAAATCAATTGCCATATTTTGGTTGACTTTAGGGTAAGTCCATTTTTATTGCTATGCAAACTAGAAAGAAAATATTGGATATACCCGCTGAGATATTCTAAGGCAGCATAATCTTTTGTGCCTTCAAAAACTGTCACTTTTTTTGCACGAAGAAGTAACAAAGGTACTAAACTCAGGAATCTCTCTGCCAGCTCCAATCAGATGTCAAAGCCCATAAGCACTCCTCTGGAGGAGGAGCCTCTGGCCCCTGATTTGCAAGTGAGAAGGACCACTATCCTAGGTTATCTGACAAGGAAATGGAAGTGAGCTGTTCTTCTGGTCCTGATATCCCTCTCTACCACCAGCCCATCCTCCCAGGCCACTCACAGGCCAGCACCTACAGTAAGAAAGGAAAGCATTTGTGAGGGATTAACATGCCACCCAGGAAATCCTCAGAGGTCAGGTGAGGACCAGCTCAGAAACTCTTCCTGGGCTTGGTATATTCTAACTTACACACAGACACACTATTCTCTTGTCTTAGCCATCAGCACTGCCAAGATCTTAGCTCTGGAAGCCCTGGTATTCTCTGACAGTCAACGTATCTTACGCTAAACGATGCATGCCACATAGATTTCCTTTTAGGGTAACTTTCTATTCAGAAATGACAATGCTGCCAGTTATTCCTGTCTAATTTATGGGTGTAGCCACAGAGACAAACATGGGTTCAACAGTCTGTGGGGCTTGTTATATGTCTACACTGTGTCTTATAACACCATCTTGGAAACAATGTGGACAGAGCAGGACTGGGAAAGACCCAGTCTGTGTAGAAGAAGGAAGCCTGGATGCTCGGCCTCACACAGGAAAACCTGACTGTTTAAGGCTCTAACCCTTAACCCAAGTTTCAAATTTATCTTATCGAAAGTGAACAAAGTCAATAGGAAACAAGCTTTTAAGTTCCCTCTCAACCTAAAAAAGAAATGTTCTTCATGATCCATAAGGGTAAACTACTTCTATCTTATACTTCTAGAAGGCATGTCTATATGCGTCATTTTGCTTGCTCCTAAAATCCACTCCCCACCCCTCTCGATAAGCAAGCACAAGTGGTCTCGCTGTTCTCATCCTCTTGGTGCAGAAAAAGGTGCTCACAAAAGTAATGTGACTTTGCTCCAAGGAACACTTAGAAAACGGTGGTGCTGGGTCTAGTGCTCAGGTCTTCAGACTCCAAGCACCAGCGCAACCTGCACGGATGCCTAGGAGGAAACAGCAACTGAGCTGCGTGGCCATGGGACAGCCAGAGGAAGTGCTCCTTCAGTAATAGCTTCCTAGTGGTGGTTTCCAGCGCTCCTCCTCTGCACACCCCAACTAAATATGGAAAATGAAATATATCTACCTCATCCTTCTAAGAATGCATCTTGAGCTCTTTAAAACTATCTATCTTGCAAGAAATATCTTACACATGTTCTAGAGTAAAATGATTCAGTAAATGTCTACAACATAAATTAACATACCCCTGAGGGCTACGCTGGCAGCCCTCCTCTCCTTCTATCCCTTGTTAAAAACCATTTAGTATACTACTCAGACACATCTGCAGGTTTCTTGGGAGTTGAGTCAAGTCACTAGCTACTACTCTCTGCCTGGGCTCATAGGACTAAATGTGATGTTATGTGAGGAATCCATTAAGAAGCCAACCTGATGGGCAAGAGTAAGAAAACAAATCTCTAACAAGAAATGCTATGGAATTTCTGGTGGAAAAAATTAAGAGAAAGCAGCAACAAGAACCCTTGTGACATACTAGATTTCCTGAAGAAGTGAACAATGACTCTACACCCAACAGGACCCCTGAAGAGAGACATATAAAGACAAAGCCACTACCCCAAAACTCTGTTAATGAGCCAGGGAGTCCACAGTCAAGACCACAGACTGTACACATGAGAGAGAGAGAGAGGTTGCTCTAAGACCTCTGGCAAAGAAACACATGTACAAGAGCTATGATTTATGGTGTACCTACTATACTTTATCACACTGTGTGTGATGCTTTATAGCCATCTCATTTACTTCTCACAGTAACTCCACTGGGTAGATGCTATTGTTATCGTATTTGTTTCCACCACTTTACAGCAGAGGAAACTAACACACTGCGTGGCTATGTGACTTGTCCAAAGCCATTCAGATCAGAAGCGGAGTGGCCGTGACTGGAACCCAGGCAGTTTGACTCCCAAATTCTTCATCTCAACACAACGCTGCCCCTAGACAACACCAACCCAGAGGGTGGCATCTAAACTGCCTGCTTGATTGCAGTGAACCAAAGGATAAAAGAATCTGGCTTTTAAAAAACGTCTTCTCTTCCCCACCTCTCATGGCAGTCCAGGACGCTGGACAGCCAGTGGTTCTCCCGGCCGTCTGACCACTAGCAACCTCAGCGTCCACCTCCACAGGTGACATGTCCAGCCCAATTAGTCAGGTCCCCTTGCGGTAGCTGTTAGGCTATGTTACTTCATTATTTCTCACTCCCACTATTTACCTTAAAATCTCTCTCACATTATTTACCTTAAAATCCCTTTGGGGAGGAAGGGGCCAATATACCAAAGAAAGGGAAGGAAATAGCAGGATTTCCTCTACCTGGGCAAGTCTTAGTCCTCGGCAGGGAGCAGCAAGCACATCGCAAGTCCCTGAGAGGAAGGCCCGAGAGCACACCACAGTCTCTTATCCTTGAGACTGGACGTAAAGTAGAGAAGGGGACTTCAATTCCTGTAGCTAGAACCAGCTCACAGAGGAAGGAGGAATCTCAGACAGAATTGTCACTGCTGTTGCCCCTGCCAGTGTCATTTTCTGAATTGAAATGTCTGAGTCGAGTCACAGGCTCTATACACCCTGCTTCCGCCATTTCTCTGTGTGTATTTGACCCCTGACGTCTGTGTAGATGGCCAGGGGGCAGGGTGAGTCCTTGTCTCTTCTCCTTGTGAGTTTTCCTTTGTTCACAGGAACGTGAAACCGTGGAATTCGGGAACTGGGGACCCAGGTCCTAGGTGCGGTGCTCTCTAACTCTTTTTTCTATTTACACCAAAGGGAAGAGGGAGGATAAATAGGAAAACCAGATGCCTAAAGAAAGCATAGGAACCGGAATGGGAAGGAGGTCTCTGATTAGCTTCACAATAGGCAAGTCAAAATAGCGGTGATGTCAGCTTAAGTCTCCTTCTCTCAGTTCTTGAGGAAAAATCCTGCAAGCCCACCCAGGGCTAATGGGAACACACAGTGCCTTCACCCTGGTTTTCCGGAAGTCGCTGCTCCCCTCTCAGAAAGCCCACACTGTGGAACCAAATGAAAAGAAGCCATGATTCCTCCCCAAGATTCCTCCTAGTACCTTTCTGCTGACTCCCACCCTGCCCTTTTGGTTGTGGGGAGCAAGAGAAGAGTAAGGACAAGGATTATTCTCAAAGCCAGAAACACTGGGTCAGGGCACGAATGCTGGGTTCAGGGTGAGCTTGTCCCCTGGCTGGACTGGCGGATGGCCTAACACAGCAGACTGTCTCCACAGCACTGTGTCACCCTCACCTCAGGGCTGGGAGAGGAAATCAGGGCCACTCGGAAGCCCACCGCTGAGAGGCAGCTCTAGGTTGGAATGCACGCAGGCTACGCTGACCTGCAGCAAACATCCTGGCAACATCTGAGTCTAGGCCCATGGGAAGCTCTTATGCCCCAAACTTGTCGAAACACTGAATGAACCCAGCACCCCAGTTACAACTCTCCCAGAGGATGTTTCTGTATTGCTTAGTGTAGGTCTGCCCAAATCCTCAGGGCTGCAAGGCTCCATCCCCTGTCCTTGCTCCAACATATCCTAAAACTGTAAAGCCTCTCCCTCCATTCTCCTGCACCCCCTCTCACCCCTGGGCCCAGCACCATCCACCCACCCAACTGGACTGTGGTCTCAGTGACCTCTGTCCCAGGGAGCAGAGAATGGTACTAAGAATAGTGCCAGTCATGGGAAGGGGGAGCTCACATACTAAATGTGACTCACAATGGTGTCCCTGTCTGGGGGCCCCAAGGCAGTCAACGGCGTCCTTCACCATGCTGCCCTGGGGTGTCACACATCAGGAATCCGGTGGCATCACTGGGAAACTATGCTTCTTAAGTCAAAGCTCTGAGCCACAACAACAGAGGGGTCCCTGTTAGAAGGAAGTCTCTCTCCAGAGCAGTGCGGGAGGGAGGGAGGGCGGCCACCACACACACTCACACACCCAACTCCACACCCCCTGCCGTCTGCTCCCTTGCTCTCCCTGACTGGCTGCAGGGGGGGATTTCCTCTGACTGCTTTGTTCTTCTCTGCTTCTGGGTAAGAGGAAAATTCCTAGTACAACACTGACGGCTCTGATTTGGAGAACATGATACAACCTCAGAAGAAGAAATATCAGGTGGGTACCTGGAGGGACCCCGAGCCAGCAGAGCAAATCACATAAAGATGTTTCCCTCCAGAGGGGACCCTGAAGGCACTTCAAATCTAAAGTTACAGTCTCATTTTTCCTTAAAAGGCAAAGCTTTGAGTAAATTTCTATTCATTTTGGTCATATTTTAAGTCCCTTCTCCTTGTCTAGGAACTGGCAGGCCCATCATCTATCTTGATGAGGGTTGGTCATTAAAAGTCCCCTGCTCTCTTGCTCCCTTTGAGTATAAAGAGTGAGCAACTTCAATAAACATATAGCAATGGGCTAAAACAAAATTTTAGTAAGATGCTCTTGATAATAATCTTTTCCATTTGGCAATCTGTCACTATCTTTCTTCTTATCTTCTAGGTTTGGGGGTTGCCTGCCC